AAAAAGTGAATGGAAAGGATCGAGTCGAACAGCTTATAAACTGGAATAACTGTTTGGCCGGGGAAATTGAATTGTTAAACAAATGATTCTGGAGATTCTACATAATTGTTTGTTTTATTAAAATTTTATTAAGGTGAAAGTTTCTTTGCTCCTTTTTCTTTCATTCAAATCCGTTTCATTCATTTCCCCCCCCCCCCTACTTCACGGCCTTCTGTTTTCATTCTCATCATTTTCTGCGGATATTGGACTTATATCCCTCACTCACTTCCACTAACCTCTTGTGCCCAGTCGCATCCCTCCCCTTTCTTTGTTTTAACAAATCTAGTAAGATAGTAAGCTTTTCTACAGAAGTACTCTTTCCTCTGCTCCGTATTTCCCCAAGAGCTTCCGAGCTTGAATTCCCTTCATACCATAAAACTTACATTTCCTTAGTGATAAGTTGGGTTTTAAGTCAATAATTCTTTGAAGGGAGATGCACCAAGCAATCATTACCTTCTTGCGACACCTCGAAGTATAGTGTTAATCTTGAAATGCTGAGCCTTTATTTTTCATATTGTATATTAGCATACATTTTAAACCAAAAAATCATCAGTTCGAAATTGATTGAAAGGATTTAAGTGCTTCACGATTCCATGACATAAAATACTGAACCATGATATAGACCATGACATAATCTCTCATTGCGATATATATCTGTTGTGTTGTAAATAATCACGTGCGTCATATATTATTTTGAATGAGTTACAAAAATAAAATGTTACACCATGGACAACAATGTCCTTTTAAAAGTCATACAGATCAGTTAACTTGAGTCTAGACTGGGGAGTGAAGATTCAACACAATGGGTGGAGTAAGACAACCTTATTATGAAACAATACATTGGGTCTCGGGTATAAGAAGGTTTGGGCCTTTTATTAATCAATCCATATAATATAATATAATATAAAATAATATAATATAATATAATATAATATAATATAATATAATATAATATAATATAATATAATATAATATAATATAATATAATATAATATAATATAATATAATATAATATAATATAATATAATATAATATAATATAATATAATATAATATAATAGTCGATCAATTGGCATTGGTGTATCATTCCGTATTTGAAGAACTTTGATCTAAAACAAAGTGTTTTCGAAGACTCTCACTAATTGCTCGTTGGGGATAAGATTATTCATTTTTTTGGCACGGGATAATTTTGAGTTTTTTCAAAGATTATTTCCAATTCTTTTGTGGAACAGGTCGAATGTTCTACAGAACTTCTTCGTTTTTATATGTTTAATCCCATAAAATGTATTTGTGTTGAGTAGTAGACATTATAAAGCAGCAGGGCAAAGGGATACTAGCTTTATTATACGGAAGTCAATCTGCCTGTCTGTCTGTGAATACGGCAACTGGAAAGCACTTGGATTCGGTTGACCTATATGTCACATTTAACAAGCCTATTGAGTGAGCCAAATGAGTCAAATCCATTGACTCCGTGGGGTCAGATCGTTCTGTCGCTTTTCTAGATCTGCTTTTCACGCGGTTTTAGATTGTAGAATAAACACAATTCCATTAGGAGTACTCGACGCAGACAAACGAGAAAAATGCAACTCTTAATTTCTTTTATTACCTACCAAAGCACAATACAATGTTCTTCGAAAAACCACAACACGTCAAGCGTAGATTGTCACAAAAGCTACGATCGATCACCTACTTCTTACCAATTACTCCAAAAATTTCATGTACCAATGTACAGATTTTACTGGAAACCCATAATAGGGTGTTTTTAAGTAACCTTATGAGACACTTACTAACCTCCGAAGCACCCTCTGCACAATCTTCCTCTTCAAAGGGTCTTCAGATGATTTTAAATAAACACACCGTATCCTATATTTCTGATTTAAAAAATATTTAAAGGTCATCGTGGGAATGTTTGATGAGCGCCTTAGCAGTAGAGTCCTTAAAGAATTCGTGCAGACTTCAGGAGATCTTTAAAAAGTCTCTAAAACAGCCTTCATTATTTTTGTAATTTTCGGAAGAGCATTTAATTAGCTTTTAAGAACAAATTTTTTGAACAATTTCTTAAGAACTCGGGAAGAATCTCTGAATGGACTTAGTCCTTTGAGGAAGTATAAAATAACAATATATTCTTATTTTATTTATTATTATTCAGAAATAATTTCAAAAATGTCCGGGTGTAGAACAAAGCAGGTAGGTACATTTCTAGGTATAAATTTGGAAATAGGTAGTAATTTCGATAGAATGAAGTTCACCAGGTTAATGTTGGTAAAATGAGATTTTGATGAGAATTTTGCAGGTCGGCAATGTAGAAACTCATCTATTACGTGGCGTTAGGCAATATCAATTCGATGTTAGTTACGAACTGCGTACGTAGTAAGTAATATCCAGGTAAATACAACGTAAAAGGTAATCCAAAAGAAAGAACGATGAGAACTTAAGAGAAAATTGTAAGAGAAACTTTACGTATTAAGGAAAATACTGCGTCATACATGTACCTACCTAGTACTGATTATGTGCAAATACAAATCCTGCAAATGGAGCACAACCGCAGACATCAAAAAGAAGAAGAGAAACCACTCTACAGAAATATGGTGGCCACTAAACCAAAAGCCTTTGTCTGACGGCATAATCTTCACTGGGCTAGAAACTGCAACTCATTGGCAAGATAAAATTTAAGAAGGGATAAAATCATGGAAAACATTTGCACGACCTCGACTGGCGAAGCAAAGAACGACCGTAATCAAAAATCCATAACACTCGAATGACTTCTAGTGGCGAAAATAAAGAACTAAGGTAATAAGAAATCTACTACAAGACTGACTTACATCTCTAAACGGGTTTACAAACGAAATACCTAGCTGGGGTTAAAATTTAAATTCAGAGAGAGAACAAACAGAAGGAATTTTGTGCTATCTAATGCAAAATAACTTTTATTTTCAGTACAAAAATAAAATTTGTAATCCAGAAATACCGCTAACGGCAAAAGTCACAAACGTAGTAGTCTTTTTCCGCCCCTGAACATTGTTCATGAGCCCATAGAAAGCACTTCTGGCACCGTATCCACAGTTCTCCTTTTTGATTTTCGGAAAAGTGTATGTCGCAAAACATGCACGCAGCATCTTCATCGTCAGGAAGGTTTTGGCCAATGTTTTCCAAGTCGCTGTCTTCGTCCTCTGGGATGAATTGTTCATTTTATGTTTCGGCCTCGTCACTTTCCGATTCTTCTTGCCTCTTCGCTCTTTTCTTTGAATTGTTAGAGTTTACTCTAGACTTTGGCAATTGCGGGGGCTTAACACATGGTCGTTTGGGCGTCTTCTGGATTGATTGCCCATTTTGTTCGTGTTGACTGCCTCTAAGGCATTTAACATTTTCGTAGAATCCCATTTCTTTCTTACATTCTTCGCTACGTACTTAGATTTTTGACGCGGCATAATATCTGAAAAAAGGTTTCAATTTCAGACTCTGGTCCTAATATGGGCCCTGGCCCATATTTAGACCTCACGAGGGGCCCATATTAACCACATTGTACGTTGTGGAAGAAACTGACGTAAGTTTTTTTGAGGTAACATAAACGCGAAATCGTTTGAACAGAAGGAAGATACATTCTAAAACAATAAGCGCATGCAGCGATCGTAATCAAAATAGATGTTAAAACTTCTAGAATCTCTTAGTAAACGACTCACCTAGAAAATAATGATAATCTTGAAACACTCACGAGAGCACTGCGCCACAATAGATATAGCTGGAAACAACACCATAATTGTAAAATGATAGTGTTATTAGTAGGTACCTCTTAAGGGGCTTACAGCAGATGGCGCTGATTGCGTTAGGACCTATTATCTGGTGGCCCATATTATGTGCATAGCCCATATTCGGACCAGTTCCTCTAACCTCTGGGCAAATTGGAACTGTTGGTATTGCATGTATTTGAGTGAACTCATTAAACTGGAATTGTTAGAAGAAAAAGCTGTCTATTTAAAGTTGTTTTTAATTTTACTAATGAAAAATGTCCAAATAAACGAGTTCAATGTGAATAGTACCGAGCGGTGCAAAAAGAATGATCACTTTAATAATTCCTATATTTTTCTACGTAATCTTTATTTTTATATATATACAGAATTACTTGAAATGGAACGGTAAGATTAATTAGTTGTAGTCTCGAGCGCCACCAGGAGTCACTAGCAAAAAAAAAATTGATCTCGCTAGTTAGTCAAAAATTCATAGTGAAAGCTGTAAATCAAAAAAATGGATCGATTTCATTACTGATTTTGTAGGTAATATATTCAAAACTGGATTTGGAGTAAAGTTTTGCTAGCAAGCAAGTTATAAAAGAAAGTTTTGAAGTCATTTTTCAGAGAAATAGAAATTTCCAGTACAGTGCATACGTCACAGTGAAATTTAGGTTAGGGCTAGGCGTGGAACAGACAGAAAATGTTCGCTAAAAAAGGAATTTACAAGTTCAAAATAGAAAATTCAATCATCTTAATTTAGAGAGGGATAGTAAACCCCTTCGATTGCAGAAAAACCTCGCACCTCGCGTTGACACTATCGAAAGTGTCAAGAGTATTCTTAATCTTAGCTTTTACAATATCTTGGTGCATAGAATGTAAATTAACTTGGAACGAAACCTGCATTTGACACGTCCTGTTTCAAGAATCAAATATAAACAGAATCCGCAGGCCGAACTTTTAGATTCAGTCGCAGAAATTATCTTTAATGAGTACCGCTAGCATTCTTGGCGGTTACCACCTTCATAGCGTGGAACAGTACACTATTGACCCTGGATAATAATAATAATAATAAATAATAGTATAACACTCCTACCATTTTCAGGCAATCATTTCAGTTATCCTCTGCTCCTACAAAACCTAAAGTTGTGAAAACTTTGTAGTTTGTGGGAGCAAATGTCAAGTACAATTATCTTTTCGGAGAGGGAAAGGCTTCCAAAACACAAAGGTGATAAGAGATTATTCTTACCAAATATCTCATTAAAATTTATCGTTTGAATGTTACATCACAAAACTCTATAAATACACGCAAAGTGATGTTTTGAAGGTAGTAACCGAGCCATCGAAAATGAAAGCGCACGTTTTGAGTTTGGTGTTCGTTTGGTGTATCGTTCAGGTGAGTCGGCTACAAACCATTTTTTCGGGTCCCTAATGAACGATGCTTTAGGTACTTTCTGTAAAATTTCCTGAAGAACTAATCGACGATTATATTCACGAGTGCTTGGAAGAACACAAGCTCGACAAAAAGGTATTGGATGGGTACTTTGACGACTCATTCAGAGTCGTCAATTTAGACGATAATGGACTCAAACTAACTGGGTGCATAGTTGAGAAGAGTAACTACTACGGACCCGATGGAAAATTTAATAAGGACGTTATGACTAAAGATATCGAAAAATGGGCCAAGTTTTTGATTAAACATGAAGTGGAAGATTACGAAGCATTGGCGGCGAAGCTTCAAGGAAACTGTGAAAAAGTGAATGGAAAAGATCGAGTCGAACAGCTTATAAACTGGAATAACTGTTTGGCTGGGGAATTTGAATTGTTAAAAAAATAATTATGGAGATTCTACTTAATTGTTTGTTTTATTAAAATTTTATTAATATGTTGAAGAAGAAATAAAAACCTACAAAGCTCTTTGAAATCAATTCTACAAAGAAGCAACTCAAACCATTTCCATTTTACTCAAGCGCCTGATTGATACCTTTACTTTGAGCCATCGCTACACGTAATTCACCAGTCGAAGGTGAAAGTTTCTTTGCTCCTTTTTCTTTCATTCAAATCCGTTTCATTCATTTATCCCCCGTACTTCACGGCCTTCTCTTTTCATTCTCATCATTTTCTGCGGATATTGACTTATATCCCTCACTCACTTCCACTAACCTCTTGTGCCCAGTCGCATCCCTCCCCTTTCTTTGTTTTAACAAATCTAGTAAGATAGTAAACTTTTCTACAGAAGTACTCTTTCCTCTGCTCCGTATTTCCCCAAGAGCTTCCGAGCTTGAATTGCCTTCATACGATAAAATCTTACATTTCCTTAGTGATAAGTTGGGTTTTAAGTCAATAATTCTTTGAAGGGAGCTGCACCCAGCAATCATTACCTTCTTGCGACACCTCGAAGTATAGTGTTAATCTTGAAATGCTGAGCCTTTATTTTTAATATTGTATGATTTAGCATACATTTTAAACCAAAAAATCATCAGTTCGAAATTGATTGAAAGGTACGGTAAGTACCCTGAGGGACATCAAGGGATTTAAGTGCTTCACGATTCCGTAACATAAAATACTGAACCATGACATAATCTCTCATTGCGATATATATCTGTTGTGTTGTAAATAATCACGTGCGTCATATATTATTTTGAATGAGTTACAAAGATAAAATGTTACACCATGGACAACAATGTCCTTTTAAAGGTCATACAGATCAGTTAACTTTAGTCTACACTGGGGAGTGAAGATTCAACACAATGGGTGGACAACCTTATTATGAAACAATACATTGGGTCGCGGTATACGAAGGTTTGGGCCTTTTAATAATCAATCCATAGTCGATCAATTGGCATTGGTGTATCATTCCGTATTTGAAGAACTTTCCTTTAAAACAAAGTGTTTTCGAAGACTCATTAATTGCTCGTTGGGGATAAGATTATTGATTATTGATACGGGATAATGTTGTGCTTTTTCAAAGATTTCAAATTCTTTTGTGGAACAGGTCAAATGTTCTACAGAACTTCCTCGTTTTTATATTTTTAATCCCAGAAAATATGTTCGTGTTCACTAGTAGACATTATAAAGCGGCAGGGCAAAGGGATGTTAGCTTTATTATAGGGGAGTCGATCTGTCTGTCTGTCTGTGTCCACGGCAACTGGAAAGCACTTGGACCGATTCGGTTGACCTATATGCCACATTTAACAGCCCTATTGATTGAGTCAACTGAGTCAAATCCATTGACTCCGTGGGGTCAAATCGTTCTGTCGCTTTTCTAGATCTGCTTTTCACACGGTTTTAGATTGTAGAATAAACACAGCTTAATTAGGAGTGCTCTACGCAATGACAAACGACAAAAATGCAACTCTTAATTCCTTTTATTAACCTACCAAAACACAATACAATGTTCTTTGAAACACCACAACACGTCAAGCGTAGAATGTCACAAAAGCTACGATCGATCAGCTACTTCTTACCAATTTCTCCAAAGTTTTCATGAACTCTGTATAATTTCTACAGATTTTACTGGAAACCCATAATAGAGTGTTTTTAAGGAACCTTATGAGACACTTACTAACCTCCGAAGCACTCTCTGCATAATTTTCCTCTTCAAAATACCTATTTCAGGAGATCTTCAAAAACCTCTCTAAAGCAGCCTTTAGTATTTTTGTAATTTTCGGAAGAGCATTTAATTAGCTTTGAAGAATTTTGGTAAAAGTTACGGTTTACCACCTTACATTTTACCCCAAATCCACTAGATCTCATACCGGGATTGAACATGTCCAATAGAAATTAAAATGCCTTTCTTTGAATTTTCAAAAACTTATCTTAGAATCGTGATTTTCAATGTTGAAAACCCTCGACATCAAATTTCGTCGAACTAGAAATTTTTAAAACGAGCATTTAATCCCTTTAAAGGTATGATGGAAATCGTCAACATATAAAATGTAAGCCACAACAACTCTCGTTCTTCTACAGGATTCGATAGCAAAAGACCTAGGAAGGAGAAATCGATCAATATTGTTGAAATGCAGAAAGATACTTTGCGTGCCCTCTAGTGGCAGAATAATGAACTTCGAAGTGAACGAATTCACACAAAAAATATCGATAGCGTTAATAGTATCTGAAACGTATATTTAAATGCCGAAAATGTTAAAGCAGGTTGAAAGCAGAGAAAAAAGCGTTACACGGCGAGGAAACCAGTGAGTAACTGGAACGTATCCTCATAACTCCCATTTTTGGGAAAGGGCGGTCGTACCATGGTTCTAAGTTCCGCAGTTCTTTCTTGAAAATTATCATCAAGCGTTGGTGAAAGCGTGCTACTGGTGAGTATACCCTACAGTATACGAAGATTCAATTACCTTTTTCCAAACACTGTTACGAGAGTGTTAGAGTAATAGAGAAGGAACTATCCAGTCCTCCTTTGTCGAGGGGGGATTCCGTACTGCCCAAAACTTACGTAGTACTGGAGGGTATGGGTGCCGCGTGCTATAGAATACCCCCAGTATACGAAGATTCATTACCTTTTTCTAAACACTGCTATGAGAGTATTCTTCCTTCAAGGGTAATAGAGAAAGAACTATCCAGTCCTCCTTTGCCGAGGGTACGGTTGGGGGATTACTGCGCCAGAAAGAGATAACAATAGGTAAGGCAGGTTTGTCACTGGCTTGACGCTTTTAAGTGGATGTTGTCCATTCCTTCGCAAACATGTCTTTCCTGTTGTTATCAGTGATAAACAAAGCTGACCATAAATATCTAATTTCTGTAAGCTTAGAATGGGGTTGTCGGATGTAAAAATTCTCAACGTGACTCGTTTTTTATTTTATTATTTTTTTTATTATTTATTTTATAATTACACTGTTATTGTTATTACTATAATTGCTTAATTTATCTTTTCAATTTCTGTCACCAGGCAGTTATTCCACTTTTTCATGTGTTCCACTTGGTCGGCATCCTTTACTTCGTCACATTTTTCGTAGAATTTTTCGGCCAGCGCTTCATAGTCCGTCCCTTCTTTTTTAACGACAAATTTAAGCAACTTTACAAGATCCTTAATTATCTCTTCTTTATTTAACCCACCATCAGGAGAGTAATACTTCCTCTTTTCAAATGTACACTTCATTAGCTTATTTCCCATTTCGTCCAAGTCATGCATTCTAAATTTATCATCTAAGTATTTCGAAAGCACCTCCTTATCGACGTTGTGTTCTTTCAAGCATTCGTGGGCAGCATTGTCCATCAGTTCGTCGGGGAACTCCACAGAAAGTACCTAGGAAATTGTTCAAGTTGACCAGCCGTTTGAAGAAAGTTGTGTATGGATCTTACCTGCACGATACACAAAAGGAGCACAAAACACAATGAGGTAGTTTTCATTTCCGGTGGTACAGTTACTAATAACATCAAAAAGTTTCGTTTTGTCTATTTATACACTTTTGTTGTGTAACAATCACGCTGTCATCCGTTGGGTTTTTGGAAATCTTTACAAATATTTTGTAATTCTATGTAATAATACTGCAGATAGTGGTTATCGCCGCTGACCTATTCAAAATAGAGCAAAGTGTTGGTACTTTTCAACCGTTTATCACAATGTTTACTCCCATGTGGTCATAATTCATTTACAGTACACAAACAACACTTGCATATCAAAACAAACCACCCAATGTATCACCGTCACCCATGTATCGACAACAAGTGGCAATACTACAACAAAATGTTCTTAAATTACCTTTATTTTTATAGTTTGGAGAAATGTGCAATTTTCAAATAGTGTTTCTTGGAAACGCCGGTAATATTTTCGTCTCCCGGTGAAATTTTACAGGTCTCTTTCAGGACTAAGTTATTAAAAGTCCTTACTGTTCATTAAAAAAAAGCACTGGTTTTGGTACCTAGCAGTAAATAGCGTCTCCCGCCAAAGACTAGTGGAGAAAAACTTCTGAAAAACCATTTTAGGTGAAAGTTTCCGATTAAATCCATTGCATTAAAGACACACCTTATACTTTCTCGTCTTCAAGTCTAAAGGGTGGATGAATGAATATCGTTTTCGTCCGTTAATTGATAAATAGGATAAGTATCCTATGGGTTATCCATAAATTCATCTGAGAAAAAGAGAAATTTTCGGTACGGATGCGATAGTCTTGTTTCATATGTAAAGAATATGGCTCCAACAACGTGTTTGAGTTGAAAAACACGGTTTCGTAGTAATCAGAGGGTGACAAATTAAACTTTTTATTGATTCAACGTATTCTACACACTTGTCACTATCAAACAGATAAAATTATTACTTCATAAACAAAGCCTCTAGCAGTATTGTTACTAGGTAATGCATTATTCTACAGAAACGCTTACATCTTATCTATTTCGTCAAGAACGCAATTACTCCAGTGTCTAATCCGCTCGATGTGATCGTCGTCCGCATTCCCTTCATCACACTTTTTGTAAACTTCCTCGGCCATCTTCTCAGAATCGCCTTTCCCCAGGAGACGGATAGTATTGATAATGTCCTTCATAAGCATTATCTTGTTCATCTTACCATCGGCAGAAATAAGATCACCCTTTTTAATTCCACACTCTAGCAGCTTCTTTCCATCTTCGTCCACATGGACCATCCTGAATTTTTCATCGAACATTTTGGATAAAACAGATTTATCGAGCTTTAATTCGTCCATGCACTCGCGCATGTAGTCCTCTATTAGTTCATCGGGAAACTCCGAGGACGTCACCTAATCAGTACAATGACTAGGCAGCTACTCGGAAGTAGTCAACTCACCTGAACGACGCACCAAATGAACACAAAACACAGAATATTGGCCTTCATGTTGCAAAACTCAATTGCTAATAAGTCATAGATCCATTTTATACTTATTTATACTGCTTCTGAACCACCAACACTAGCCAATGGTTCATAGGGTCGCTGTTGTAAAAAATTA